AATACATTCCTGTAGTAAAATTCTAAGCATATTTGCATCATACTTTCTGTCATATTGGAGCCGTTATAGAATATTATATTATAGAAAAATTATGAATAGCATTACGAAGAAATAGCATTATGAAGACTAATATTATGAAGAATAGTATTATGAAATTTTACTGTAGAAGATATAGAAGATATTATACAATTTAAAACGTACATTAATTTCAGACTAGCATCTTTTTTCTTTCGGATTTTAAGAGTAAATTTATAGTAAAATAATTTAGAATGTACTTATATCGTGAAATTAGTTGCACTATTTTCCGATAGTAGTAGGTACCAAAAGGGTTGCTTGAAGGGTTTTTTGGTGGGTCATGGCAATCTTTGTTGATATCTGCAGTTAAACTCGGTCATCAACGACATTTGACTAATGTGAGGCTAATTAATACTGACGGGCAGACAGATAACAGACCTTTTTTTTTTAATTTCTTTCTTTTTACATGTTGTCTTCGCATTACTATTCCAGTAGAAGTAGAGAACAGGGTTACATCTGATATTCGCTACGGTTATCATCCACAGTTTTATTTGTCAGCATATCTATACGCCCCGGAAGATATTCTTTTTGAAAAAAAATAAGAAAAACAGTATATCTCTTTGAGAATACATCCCGGCAATTGGTGAAACAGAATATCTCCATTAGTACCCAGCAAGTCGACGACAAGAAATAACGAAAACTCTACGGGATTTTGTTCAACGAAAAAAAGACCATTGGATAACATTATAATCAGGAAGCACAACAAACGACTGCTTTGAAAAATGCTAAGACTCTTCAGTGGTTATCACAGATAATGAAAGACGTGGCTATCTACAAAGGCGCATTATTCGTCGTCTTATCTTCAATTCGCTAATATCTGTTTTTGCCTATTCGCGACAACAGATTATAATGAAACAGGAAGCGTTTCCCCTGATTTAAGTTACCTGTTTTAATGGTTTTTAATGTTTAGTAAAAATATTCCACTTTTGACCTTTGGATAGATAACTGAGATAAATAAGTACAATCCTTTTTTTTTTTCTTTAATCTGTTTAAAAGTCCCCACCTCTCTTCTCTTTCAATTGAAGAAATAGACTTATTTTGCCACAAGCGAGGTAACAAAACTCTTGGGATATGATTCGGACATTAAGGAACTCTTAGTCTAGGAGAAGGATGATTCGGAATACCAGACGAGTTAGTCATGGGACTAGTAACCCCGTCTCGTGGAAACCTTGCTCTGGAAAGCACATCAGCAACGCTGAGTGTATTAAAGATGGCCGGTCGGAAAGAACATTTATTTTATTAAGATTTCTCGAATGCACAGGCCGACAGTAATAGTACACTCTGTTTAAAGTAAAATATAATAAATGAGGCGTCTATGTAAAATAAGAATACCTACTATAATAACGTTCGAACTAATAGGAATGTCATAAAAAATAAATCGATATATATATATATATGTGTGTGTGTGTGTTTGTGTGTGTTTATGTGTGTGTGTGTTTATGTACGCGTAAACAAGTGTACTCTTTTTTCAGATTTCTAATCAGCCAATGATGTGACAGCAAGAATAGATATAGCCATTTAAACATGGCTACGTGAAGCTACTGAATTTCATTTCATGCATTAGTATGGAAAATAAAGGGGATTTCAGTGACTTTGAACACAGGATAAACCTTGTTGCCAGACGGCTGTGCTGATGTATTTATATGTTCACGTACAATCATCTGTGTGGTTTACAGACAAGCTGATAGAATGACAATATTAAATCAAATAAGAACTTTTTTATAATGGAGTTATATACAAGAGCATCTATAACAGCATAACACGTGGATCTTTGAAACATATGGCCACACCAGGTCTCACTCCTGTCAGATAAGAAGACACTGAGTCTACATCCACCGTGGATAACCAAAGCTGGACAATAAAAGACATTGCTTGATCTAACGTGTTTCTATTCTTGCTTTGTTGATCGGATGGGAGAGACAGAATTTGTCGTAAACAATATGAAAATATGAACTCATCCTGCCTTGTATTAACTATTCATGCTGGTGGTGGTGATATTATGGTATGGGGACTATTTTGGGTGCATACACTGGGAACCTTAGCATCCATAAAATATCATTTAAATACCGTAGCCTCCCTATGTATTGTAACTGACATAGTCGCTCAGCTTATGTGTACGGTGGCCCTCTGGTGGCCACTTCCTGCAACGCACTGTGTCACAAATAAAAGATTGGCTCCTCTAACAAAGTAACGAGTTTTCTGTGTTAAACTGGCTTCCACGATCACTGGATCACGATCCCATAAGGCACGTCGGGAAAATTGAATTCTGCATGTGCGGACATTCAGTCTGGAAAAAATTGTGGTAAATACAAAAATAGCGTACCCCCAAATTTCGAAAGAGTGTATTCAGAGAGATTTGAAGTTATTCTAAACAAAAAAAAAAGAAAAAAAAAAGTGAGAACTAACCAGATACTAGAACATTATGCATAATAATGTTACCGGCACACACACACACACACACACACACACACACACACACACACACACACACACACACACACATATATATATATATATATATGTTGTGGATTCGGAGATGAAATCCGGTCTCCAATGAATGACAAATGCAGGAATGAAATATAGCAAATAAATGTATTTACACAATAATACAATTGGTAATACGGTTAATAGATCCAGAAACGCGGTTAGTAGCAATAATAATATATATACAGTCTGGGAAATTCAGTCTCGAAGTAGGACTTACTTAGAGTCTACGTGCTCGCAACTGCGACTTCTACAAGCAGTTACCTCACACTATTACTCTACCTCCAACTCAATCACAATCTCTGCTCTTACTACTCTGAAGGACTTTGGGTATTCAACGGCAGCAGTCCAAGTACACACTGGTCGAGTCCACATGTATGAAAAAAGGGTGGACCTCATAACAATATATATAACTTAAATTATGTAACGGTCAGTCTATACGCAGTACCTGAAGATTGGGTTGTGCATATAACTCCGAGTCATGCTACCAGTGAGGGATAATATATATATATATATATATATATATATATATATATATATATCTGTGCCCTGTCCCCTGTCATTACCAAGATAAATGACACATTTTGACTCCTAATCATAATCAAATTCCTGACAATAGTGTAAAGAGAATGACATCAGATTGGATTCTCATTCTATCCATTGTATTCCTGTTTCTCATTTCTTATAGAAGTAGGTATTTATCTGCATCGTAAAAGAATGTGATATGAGGTCGGTTTTTCTCGCAGATGTGTTATTCTCTCGTTTTAAGTTTCCGTTGCCTGATCAAATATATAAACATTTATCTTGTAATGTTGTTCGTTTTTCCCACTGTATGTCATTTTAAGGGTATATTTATACCCTTATAAAAATGGTGTCAGTTTGAACTGATGCTCCCCACAAGATATTTAAATTATTATTGATAATTTTGGGAAGTGAAAATTTCCCTGTAATATATTGGAAAATTGCCACGTGTTCCTCTGAAATCAAGAAAATACTAACTTTAAGCAACAACCACACAGTATACGGAAAAAAGAATGCGTCAGTTTAAACTGACGCCATGAGAATACACCTATTGTTACAATGTCTAACCTGCTTAGTTTAAATGCCATGTCGCTTCAAGATATAGACAATGACTGGGTATATTCCATTTCTTTAATATCTTTAATATCTAGTCAGCGTTTGGCAGGAGGGCCTGTGGGCGTGTTATTCTGACAGTGATAGATTGCTTTTGTCCGGGTTCAGGATATAAGTCCAAGACAGGTCGATTTCAATACAGGGTTTCAAAAATTCTGAAGCGTCGATACGCTTTCCCTATCCAGATTGAGAGAACGGCTAACATCCGACATGCGTTCCTGTGACGTATCTCCTCCCGCTGCCTCTTAGAATTCAAGCTGTCACCATTTTCACTTACTAAAACGAATAAGAAAAAGAAATGGTCCTTTTTGTTGATACCATTTTATGTCGTAGTGTTGGGTCCAAGAGACGACACAGAACGCAATACAAGATATCTCTGGAAAAAGAGTGGAGTGGTTTCCCGTTGCTTTCTCTACGGAACTGAAATTCAGTTATCTTTCTTCTAAACTAGCTACCACCCAAGACTAGAGAGCACAGTCTACTTTACTATTTAACTCAGAAACTTGGTAGTTATGTATAGTAATAGATTTTTTTTTTTTTTCTGCTTGGATAAATATTTATCTTAATTTTCAGTGTCTGTTCAACTCAATAGTAGATTGGATATGGTATGCTTTACAGATTAAAGGTTTCACAGTACTGAGACAGACACCTGAAGAAGACAGGAAAATACAACAGTTGAAACTTTGCGAGTATAACAATCAAGATGGGGGGGTGATGATAATTTTGAAACCTAGAATTTATTAGAAAGGAATTTTATCGTTTCGATTATTTTTATTTATCACAGGAGAAATAATAATCTACAGGCAAAAAGTTTGGAGCTGCCCTGCATTTCATTAAAAAAAACATTTAAAAAGGAGATATTTTTATATTATTTAAGAAAAAGATAAAATTCCATTAACTACAGTGTATTTGCTTTTATTTTGCCACAAAATAAGTACTTAACTATAAAAAAAAATATTATACAACAGCATCATATTTTGTTTCCGTCAATAAAACTACCACCCGCCTTAATTACTGTTTTACAAAGTCTTATCATTTTTTCCAACAGTTTTTACACCCCCACCAAAAAAAAACAAACAAACAAATAGAAGCATTCTTCAAGCACTGAAAAAGCTTACTCTCACGATTTTGGTATTCTTTTCGAAATCTCTAATTGAACCCAAACTAATTCAACGATAGAGAGGTCAGTAGATTGAGGCGGCCAAGCCATAATTTTCAAAATTTTATTACTTTTCTTTTGATTTAAAGTACGAAAACTGAAGAGGAAATCATTACTCCAAGATTCTTGTAAAAATAAGCCACGTCACTTTGAAACACCGGTTCTCGAACGAAAACCGAAGTTAAGCAACGTTGAGCATGATCAGTACCTAGATGGGTAACCCCTTTTGAATACCAGGTGCTGTAAGTTTGGATGTACAGGTGGGGTAATCGATAATGTGTTGGAATTGAAAATTGGATAGCTGAGTTCCAATTCCAGTTGGGTTTTTTATAGTCACAATTACCCAGAGAAAAAGTATCAATCCATCTCTTCTCCTTAAGCTTTGGTTTAATTAATATAAATTATATCAGTAAAATCCTTATTATCTCTAAAATCTTCTTACAATCTAAATTTATTTCTGACTTTAAATAACCTTGAAAAGGTGGATAAATTGTGAAAATCTCAACCAATTATAAAAATAAAGTATCGTTTTAATATTAGCAAAGAAACTTTGATGAAAAACACACACGGGACTTTCTTGTTTGTTTCGTGAATCTTGTGACATAGTAATTGCGAGTGTTGCAGTTTTTGGGGTATTATGTACTAGTGAGTTAGCCCAAATGATTTGACTCACTTTATAGTCAACCAACAGAAGGTTAACCAATCAGAAAACGTAGAATATTCAATCCGTCGTGTATAAAGGCAGCCATTTTGTTTACTCTATCCGAATGTCCAGTGCCAGCTTGTCAGGCGAAGAGGAACAGAAGGAAGAACTACGCTCTGCTACTTTACCGGGATATCCACTGCCAACCTGAACAACGCTTCCCTACTGTCTTCGAAATATTCACTGCTAACCTCTGGATTCTATATTCGAAGATGACCGTCATCATGAACAACAGCGAGTTCAATCCCGGGTTTGGTAGTGTGTACTTGGACTTACTTGAAACGGGCGATCAGGAACTGAGCAGCATTAAACATAAGAACTAGACAAGGTATCCTTAGACATGGGAAGTGGAACGAGAACAGACTAGGCCCGTAGATAAAATAAAGGCTTCAGTTCAGAATTCCTTGTAGGTTACTCAGATCAATATACACCCGATGAAATATTGTGGTAACGACTGGATGAGGTCAAGAATTCGAATATAAATGATGAAAAGCGACAGGTTTTTTTTCAATACAGACACAGGAAGAAAGTACTCCAACAATACTGAGATAAATTAGAGTATAAAGTATGATGGATAATAAAAAAAAATCAATCTTAAATTCTTCAGTGTCATACCAGCATGCGCTTGTATTTAGTCATCAAGCACTTACCTCCTCTTCTTTCTTCATCATTTATAGCTTTTGCCAATAATCTATTCGTTATGCTTTGTTTTACTTGAAACTATCTGAAACACAAAAAACATACACGCAACATTAACAAATGATTTATATCTAATATCGAGTCGTTCATTAATAAAACAAGCATTTTCATGAAGTTTAAGAGAATATTCTTTCATCGAAATAAACTCGGATCGATTCAACGCGCATTTGCCAAAGGAACCCTGGGATGGCGCAACGATCAGAAATATGGTTCTACAGAAAGATGCTGAGAGTACCATGGACTGAACATGTGAGCGACGACGAGGTTTTGGAAAAAATGGAAACAAAGAGGATAACTTATACTTAAGATCAAAAAGAGGGACAGATAATGAGGAAAGAAGGCTTAGAAAATGTTACTACCGAGTTAGATCCTTATTAGGAGTCATGCATTCGTAGATTTGTGCAAAAACTGACTTAATCTTGCTAAATAGCAACTTGCTTTCACCAACAAGTTTCCGATATTAACTTTTATTTAGTTCACAGGCTTACGGCCACATCATGTTGAAACACCGGTTCCCGTACGATCACCGAAGTTAAGCAACGTCGAGCCTGGTCAGTAATTAGATAGATGACCGATAGGGAATACCAGTTATTGTAAGCTTGGATGTGTGGGTGGTGCAAATGATAATGGCTCAGAATTGTTAATCCGAGAGTTGAGTTCCAATTCCAGTTGGGTTCGTTATATTGACTTATAATACCTGTGGGTAATGTACGAATCCACCCTTTCTTCCTCCAGCTGTGGGTTAATTAGTATATTTTATCACTAAGCCATTATAATCTTTAAAAAATTCTTACCATCAAAAAGATATCTTCTGGCTTTAAATAAATCATTTATTGTATTTTTTCACGTTAACCTTTAGATAAGATGAGGTAAAAAAATATAGCAGATTTTCCTGAATTTATCCTATACCTTTAGTATAAGATAACTGCTTCTTGATTATATAAAGATGATGCTATTGGAAATTTGTTACTGTATTCTTAGAAATCTCTATCTATAAAAGGCAGGATGTGTGTGTGTGTGTGTGTGTAACGAATGCACGGCCGCAATTTTCGACGGATTTGCATCAAAATTTACATGCACATGCTCCAAGTTAGCGGGAAGGCCAAGACCGACTTTGCATTTCCCAACTCACATCGATAGTGGAAATAATCGATTTGTTCATGCTTCTACGGCAGTTTTCATGTAGTTTGCGGCCATTTTCTACTGGCCAGAGTGAGAGCCTATAGCTGGCTGCCACGAATAGGCAGGAAGATTCTATTGGCCAGCGTAAGAGCCAACAGATGACTGACAAGAATGTTAACTAGCATGCTAGCATGCAAAAAAAAATCGATAGCTGCATTCGTCACAAGTGGGAAAAATTTAAATCTGCATGGCACTTTACTCCAATTGGCCCATTCGCTTGCTTAAACTCAACGTTGATTCTGATTTCGAAGAATTGGATTGGGAGTGAAAAAATATTTGTTGTTAACATTCTTTTTTCATTCGGTTTTTCCAGTTACGGGTCCTTTTTTTAAAGCTGATCGTTTTGTGTTCATTTTGTTTAGTTCTTTTTTTGTAACAGATTTAATGTTTAGTATAGAGCTTAGAAAAAATTCGCAGTGTGAGATAGGCAAGAAGTAAGGCATGTAGCAACATCAGCACGGCAAAGGGCACTCCTTTAAAGGCAAGGAAGGGCAAACATATTTTAATTCAAGTGATAGCGATTGCTGTATGAGTCGTACGATTTTTGAATCAATCACGGGCAACGCTTGGCCATGCTGCTAGTTCAAAATAAACGAAATACCAAAACCGATTCTCTAACATGTTTTTCCTACACACGTCACTTAAAAGGGAAAAACCATTGTTTTGTTTACCTTTCATCCTGTGATCTCTTGCGAATAATGAGTTTTCTTTTTCCTCTCCTTTTCCTATATCTAAACAGACTGGTGTACTAACGGCCATTTACTTATATTTCGACAATTACAAATAAATGTTGCACGTAATCCTGAATTGTGTTATTATTTAACACCAAAATGGCAATTAATGGCAAATTAATCTTTATGCTATCCTAAATTTTATTACTGTCGTAATTAATACTACCTTGATGACTGAAAGTTTAACGAAAGATAAAGGTTTCTGTGAACGCAGTCATAACTCGATGTCTACATATTCTCAGCCGAGCTTGCCCAGATGCAAGTTAATTTTATTGGTATGGAATTATTATTCGAAAAGGCAATTTATTATGAAGTTATGCCAGAAATATATAAGGTAGAAATAGTTTTATTACTTTTATTATCAGTTTTTTATGATAATATGAATCGTTTCATTCACGTTGTCGTTTATCGCACCTAGTTTAGCCTACAGATTAACATCACTCAGAATTTAAGGTTTCTTTTTTTAGAATTGCAGCATAAGACGATCCCCAATTTTTAAGGGTGATTTTTGGGGAATTAAAGGTCGTCTTATGCGCGGAAATACACCCCGAACCAGAGCTTGGCAGCAAAAGTTAAGAATTCTGTGAATTGATTTTGATAAAAAAAATTCCCGGCTGGTTTGCACAATATGTCAACAATATTGTTAGATTTCCATTATTCTGTGTAACGTTATCTATTTTTTTTTATTTCAGATTCGACAGTTTTGGGGTGAACGACAGTAATAGCGTCTCTCCTCTCTAAAAACAACTTGGAAAAGGCTTCGGCGATGAAGAAAAGTTTGTCATCATCAAGGAAAGTGCTAAAGGCACTTCTCTTCATGTCATTGCGAAGAAGTTAGGAGACAGTTAGACGATTCCTGAGGGGTCCATCGCCAAGGAAGAAAGGATACGATTTTGGGATCTCCAAGACTGTGACAGCTATAGATTTAAGGAGCATTAGCCACAAGTGACGTGGGGAACCTGGAAAAACAAGCAAAGCCATTTTTACCGCTTCTGGACTTCCTTATGTACCAAAAACCACCAGAAATCGAACCCTCAGGCTTCTATGCAATCTCCCCTGAAACTGCATTCTTTGCTGCCCCGTCACACGAATTTAAGGTTTTAATGGTCTTGGAAGTATATAACGTTGGACATGAGTTGTATTCTGCTCACTGATGAGGTAAAGGAGCCCTTTGACGGACCTGACGTTTGGGAAAATGATTGGTCTATTTCGGAGATAAACATCAACAACGTTGTGGGTTGGTATCATTGGAGATAGACTTGTTGGCCCAGTCACGGTGACTGGAGGGGTTAAAATGACCGCAGCCACCTACTGCGATCTCCTGAAGAATATCTTGGATCGTTGGCTAGATGACATACCGCTGTCATTTATCAGGACTCTAGTATTCATGCATGACAACGCTCCCTTGCACTCTGTCAGGGCCACCGAAACATTCCTAGGCTCTTACGCCATACAAGGTGAAAGGTTGATGGTGTGACCGCCAGCCTCTCCGGATCTCAACCCGATTGAATATCTTTGGTCCATCATTAAAAAAGATGTTTATGCCGATGGACGTTAATTTATGCCGAAAGTTATCTTAGGTGCGACCATCATATCTGCAGGAGAGGTAGTCCAGCCTGTGACTACTAAAAAAAATTGACATTCTATGACTAATTGGGTTTTTGAAGTTATCCGTCGAAATGGCGCTCATGTGGCCAAATAATTCATTATATCAATAAATCATATGATATTATTATGGTTTTCTGTTAAATATATACTCAAGTCATGCTTAATATGTACCATCATCCTTCATTTTCTTCAAAAAATCTCTAGATGAGCTATTTTCATTTAATAAGCTATTGGCGTGGTTCACCCCCAAATTGTCGAATCTGAAAAAAAAAAAAAATTAGGATGTTACACAGAATAATGAAAACCTAATAATGGTGTTGCCATATTGTGCAAACCAGATGAGAAAAGTTTTATTAAAATCAATTCACAGAAAACCCAGAAATTCTAAATTTCACTACTAAGCTATTAGCGTGGTTCGTGGTGTATACGTTAGTTCACTCAATACAAGGCTGAAGAGTAGATGGTTACTGGATAATGTGTGTGATATGAAAGTAGAAGGAAGTGTAGATTACTAAGAAAAGTATATTGATTGAACCTTAGTTTGAGGAGGTTAAGATTAGTGTTCAAGAAAGCATCTATGTAGGAGTTTGTTTCACTAAGTAACAGTTCTCTGGATGAAAAACCACTATCTGAATTTAACTTTCTCTTTACAAATGGAATACTGAGGAAATGTGTTTGATTCAATTTAAGCATGGCGAGTTTAGCATGGCGTGTTCAAGCTGTAAATGTCCGTGTTTTTGGAACTGAAGCGTGGAGCTCATCAGAAATTTTAGCATAGATAGACTTGCTACGTTCTATTCGCGGGAAAAAAAGCCATATAATGAAAACATAAGCTATTATTTACAAGGTTGCGTAAACGATTTTGATCTCTTTTCAGGCCGTAAAGTAAGAATGGAACAGCTGCAGCCCAAGCAAGACAGCAACACTCTCTTTTTGGTATCATCTGACTCTTGCAAAGATAATGCATTTACTAAATTTAGCAGAGTATAGCACAAAGTCATAAGTGTGCAGAACTCAGTGAAGACGGGGTACACTCTTGCTAGCCACTACTGCAAGATGATGTTTTTGGTCATATGGCACAAGGCTTCACGTGAAGGTTCCTAACGAAGACAGAACTCACTAGAGTATTGATGATCTGCGAGATGTGCAGGTATACCATTACTCAGTATTCTTAATTAATTCTCAAGTATGGCGCAAGGCTATACGTACTGGGTCCTGAGGAAGGATGAAGCTCTTTAAAGTAACAATGATCTTCACTAAGCCTAGTGGAATAAAGGAGGATGCAAAAGTAGGTATACAGTAATGAAAAACAAAACGTGCATACAAAATGTATTGTGTTGATAATACAAACATATCAATAAAATGAGATAGAGTAATGGATAGTGGCTCGGGTTGAGGAATCGGAGATCCAAGTTCGAATTCCAGTCGAATCCATTACATTCACTTACGTGCTAATACGCTTGGGAAAGGTATGTATCTTCTTCTTCCCCACCCCATCCAGTTATGGGTAAATAGCAGAACAGACCGGATGCCTTGGATGGCAACTGGTTTACCGCAGAAAGAAATGGCAACCTACTGCGGGAAAAAAATCTGCCTCGTCAGTCATGTATCAAAAGATACATGATTGCTTAAGCGTGTATCACGCATGGCACATAACTGACTGATCAATAAAAACATATCGATCCCTCAAATGCTGAAAAACTTTGCCCCCGTCTTTTACACACCCCTCTTTACCTATAAAACATTTATTATTATTTATTAAAAAGTATAAATTATACTAAATGTATTATAAACAGAAATTATGAAAATAAAAAAAATTAAAATGACTTCAATGAATTCTACTATTAAAATTAATTTTAAAACCACTATTATAATACTGCTATAATACTTACGTTATGAGTTTGAAGCCGCTCCCTGTATATTAATATATAATAATATATATAAATATAATATTAATACAATAGTATCTACCGATTTTACTATGTAAGCTGCGCGTCTTGATTCCCAGCACCCAAAAGGATATTTACATTTCACCAACGTTAAGAGTTATTGTGAAGCAAGTTTTGTGAGGTTTGTC